TAAAAACCTAATCCCCTGTGAGGTTTGGATCATTATTCTTCTGGTGGTGTTATATCAGAAGTGTGTGTATGTGTGTATGATTGTAGCAGAATATTTCCTTCTTTTTACCCTTACATTCAAGAGTATAAATTCTTAGGGTTCAAATATATGCTCTCTCTTTTTAAGAGTTGCGATGATGGGCAGGAGCTATGTTGAGAGAGGGAGGTCCCAGGCAGGAGATGGAATGTAAGTGGTTTGAAGCACAAGTAAGGTGTCAATCTCCAAGAAGCAAAGGCTGAATGTTTTCTCTGATATTCAGATGCTAATTCATAATAAGGATGGGGGCTAGGGAAGAACAGAGATACTTTGGATTAAGCCGAGGGTAGTGAAGGAATGGGAGGGGGTATAGGGGTCGGAAGGATAATAGAATCAATCAATGAATCGGACATTATGACCATATGTACATAAATGATTACACAACTGGTGTGATTCTACATGATGTACATCCAGAAGAATGAGAAGTTATACTCCATTTATGTATGATGTTTCAAAATGCATTCTATTGTCATGTATAACTAATTAAAACAAAATTTTTTTAAAAAGTAGAGGGGAAAATGGAGAGAGAAGCAAATATTTATCTGTCCTTTCATTTTAAACATCCCCCTGTTTTTCAAGATTGCAGATGAAGGTCAAATCCTATAACCAACATAGAGCTACCCCTCTACCTTTTCTAGGCTGGGCTGGATCATTCAGTAGTTCCCAGATAGTAGCCTGATACCCTACCAGAGACACTGCCTACTGGAGAGATAAAACAGGATATATCTTTATTTCCTGGTCCCAGAAAATTTCAGCTCGTAAATTCCCGAGGACAATTTTGAATGATCCTACTTTTGGTAGGTAGACTAAATATATCCAATTTCCACATTTCTATCTTTTTTTTTTTTAACATTGGCACTTTCAGAGGAAGAAAATACCATTTATCTTGTTTCTTGGATGTCATGTGATGGAAATACCTCTTGACTTTAGTGTTTTGAGAAACATTTCAACATGTGAATTTTAGTATAGCCTATGTTTTAGAATAATATGCATATTTCTTCTTCCTCTCATATCTGTCATTTCACCAAACTAATTTTATTTTCTTCCTCAAAAGATAACCAATAGAACTTTTTGTGTGTGTATGATCTGTGTATGAGAGAGAGAGGGAGGGAGGGAGGGAGAGATGGAGAAATGGAGACAGAGAGAGAGAGAGAGAATATGCACAGGAACAGGATTTGGGTAGAAATATGGGGGTGTGTCATTAGAAAAACAATCATCTAATGATGTTGTGGAGTTTTAACACTATCCTTTTAAAAATTAAATGAGCTAATATAGTACTTGGAGCAATGCCTGGCATGACAAAGGAACTCTGTGATATTACTATATTTATTTGCGGTACTGGCGATTGAACCCAGTGATGCTCTACCACTGAGCTACATCCCCAGTCCTTTTAATTAATTAATTTACTTTTGAGAAAAGGTCTTGCTAAGTTGCCAAGGTTGGCTTGGAACTTGTGATCCTCCTCTCAACCTCCTTAGTAGCTGGGATTACAGGCATGTGCCACTGTGCCAGATAGTGGCACATGCTATATTTAAAAAGAATACAAAAATTTGAAGAGATACTATGATTATTCCTATTTTGTGGCTAGTAAGGGTTGGAGCCCGTGATCAAATCATACTTCCCAGATGCAGATCCACTGAACCTACCCAAGGTTTGATACTGATGAAAAAGAGTAAGCAGGAAAGGTGGAGAGAAAATATATCCTTGCAGTCAGTGTTTTCCTTAAAAGATCAATACCATTGAGCCTTCAAATTGATTGTAAAAACATCTTTCTCAGCTCTCTCTAGACAACAGAAAAGACTATGGGTGTCTCTCACATATAGGCAAGAAATAAACTAAGAACTGCTTGTGAATTGTCTATTGCATACTCAAGGGCACAGGGTTGAAAGGGACCTCTTAGGATTCATCTGGGATGTTCCCTGATTTCTTGCAGAAATGTGACTAAACCATCCCTGGATTGATGGTTTGTTAACTCAATATCAAAAATCTGCAAGGAAAGGCAGTCGCAACCTTCATTTATGCCGCCACTCTCAACTAAATCAGTCAGGGTCATTGCAGGTGAATTGGGTTGGCACAAAATAATCACAAAGAGACAGAAAAAAATACCTTTTTCTTGGGTTTCAGTGATGGCTCCTCAGCCCCAGTTCCCACAAGGGAAGCAAGAGAGGCAGACAAGAGAGAGAGAGAGACAGCACAGCGGAGGTGGGGTCTACCTGCTCCCAAGCAGAAGCCAGTTGCACACCTCCATCGCTCAAGGCTAAGGGTCCTGCTCAGCTCCTGTTCATTGCAGCACCGGACACTTCTGTATTGACTCAGTTTTGGTTTTCTTAACTCTGGCCCTTGGGACAATGTTCAATTCTCTTAAGGATATGGGCTCCCAACATAGAGGGTATCATTTGCATTATCAAGGCAAACAAAAATTAAATGTAATTAATTACCCTAGAGAGTAGTACCTTATTAATCTTCCAATCCTACAGATAATGCCTTGCACAAAACATTACAGATAGTAGATGCAATAAATGCTTATTAACTTAAATTGAACTGAAAACTGGGTGAAGAGTGGTCTGTTTACCAAAGAGCATCATTTACTTACTCAAGGCTTCACTATCTCATTTCCAGTCATCAACACTTGGATTCCATCAAAAAAAAGAATCATGCAAAACAAGAAAATGCTAACTTTTTAATGAGGTTCATTCAATCATTCACTCAACAAATATTTATGGAGCACCTTGCTTGAAGCACTGCCCCAAGTTCTGAATGTTTTAAATGCATGCCACCATGTTTTGAACATCATTATGTAATCTTAGAACACCCAAAGACCACACTGGCTCACTAACTTTCTGATATGAGTTTCATGAGCTCCTGTTCAGATTCTGCTAAGAGCCCTTCATGTGAGTAAAATCCTGCAGTGGTACCATTAAGTAATTTCCACGTGCCCATTCAGAACTTTAATGTTAGGGATTTAATATTGAGTTGACAGGTAGTGTGCTTGCTACAAAGAAAAATGGACTGGGAATTCAGACACTGAGTTCTAAAACAGTGTCACCTCTATCAAGTTAATTAATTCTTTTTTTTTTTCTGTGTGTAAAATAAAAATAACTAGAAAACCGTTAAGGCCTTTTTATATATGATATTCCATAGTCCTAAAGTAACAGACCTAATTAGTTCTAAATTCTAGGAGTAAGGCAAACTCTATTATGAGTTTTGGTTCAATTCTTATTAATGATCTCAAATTTTTCTTTTCTTGTTGTGAGATCAAAAAGACAATACATATAAATAAATAAGAATGTGTGTATGTCATTATTATTTTTAAAGTAATCACCAAGAGCAGCAGTTGACAGGCCACTCAATCCTTTACTGCTTTGCCAAATATCCTTGACTTTGCTACAGTATGTATTTCTTCACTGCTTTTGTAAATTTTCTCACCAGATGTCAGAGGGACTTGAAAAAAGATGGAGTTGGAGCAGGGGTGGTCTAGTGCATATTTATGTTATTGCCAAATCTTAATTTTTAAAAGGTTTCAAACTTCAAGGAGGAGTTCAACTTGTGTAGCTGAACAGAAGGTGCTCCTCGGGCTAACCTGGACATGAAGAAAGAGCAAACCTGGGTGGGGAGAGAGATCTAGGTTAAGTGCTGAGGGAAAAATAACAGAGACTTACACTTTGTATAGAAAGACTATTACCCTGAGTTAGAGCCCCTGAAGGCCTTGAGGATTAGGACACCTGCTGAGCCTCGCATCAATAGGTGATTACTGATCTCAGTACCTGGGGAGGCCCAAGTTCTCGCTGCAGGTAGAAAGGCGGCTGAATGACCAAGCGGATCCATTTCTTAGTGGCTTTCCCATGTATTCTGCCAGTAAGAGACTTTCCCATGTCGCAGAACTCACAGGAAAAACCCCCTCAAATTAAGAAATCTAAATGCTGAGATATTTACACCTTTAAAAAAAGTTGCATCCAAACACCTTTCATTCGAAGGTGACAGTTCGTGAACTGTCACAGCATCATCTCACCAAGTTTAGCAGCCCTCAGGACGCGCCAGAGCTGCCCTACACCCAGCGCGCACAGCCCAGCCCTGCGCAAAAGCTCCAGCTCTCCCAGGGCGCGCGCCCTGGGACCGGGGGCGAGGGGCGTGGAGGCGGTTCCCTTGGAGCACCCAATCGGCAGCGAGGCCCGGCGGTGGCGCCAGTGACGTAGGCCGCGCTTCCCTCCGCCCCACTGCGGGCGGACGCTGGGCGCTGTCAGCCACGCGAGCTCGAGCGCGAGGGGAGAGAGAGAAGGAGGGCTTTGGGACCCGCCGGCTGTCGCAGGACGGCGGGTCGCGGGGAGCGGGCGCAATGAGCATGCGCAGCCGCTCCAGGGAGGGCGGGGGAGGAGGGGCCGGGATGAGCAGACGCGCGCGCACGAGAGCCCCGCCGGCGGCCGCGGGTGGAGGGGGCGGTTCCTCGAGTGTCGGCGACCCGAGGGCGTGCGGGCGGGCGGCAGGTGCCGCCGCGGCCGCCGCCACATCCTCCTCCCGGCCCCGCATCTCCTCGTCCTCCCGCGGCGATGAGCTGGGCCCCGTCGGGGGCTGCACCTGCTGGCTGCCCATCACCCCGGGCCTGCCGGTGTGACCTCGGCCTCGTCGCGTGTCGGGCCCCCGCGGCGCGGCGCTGCCCCTGAGAGGGAGCGGCGGCGGCCTCCTCCGCCCCGAGTGCTCGCTCGGGGGCCGCGCGGGGACAGCGCCCGGCCCCCTCCCCTCCCCGGTCCGCTGTCCTCAATGTCTCCCCGGCGGGGAGGGGGCTGCCTGGGAGACACGCTGAGCGGCCCCCCCCAGAGGCTCGTTGGCGGCAGCAGCAGCGCCCAGCCCGGCGCCCCGCAGCCTCCGCCGGCGGCGGCGGCCTGGAGGAGCCGCGCACCCGCCGCCGCCCCCCGAGCCTCGCAGCCGCCGCCGCCCGGCGCCCCAGGAGAGGGCGGCGGGCGCCCCCCGGGGAAGATGAAGGCGGAGGGGGGCGACCACTCCATGATCAACCTGTCGGTGCAGCAGGTCCTGAGCCTCTGGGCCCACGGGACGGTGCTGAGGAACCTCACGGGTAATTGATGCGCCCGGGCTGGGGACGGGAGGCGGTGCCGCCCCTCGCCTGCTGCCTCCGGTCCGCGGAGGGCGGGGGAGCGCTCCTGCCGCCCCACCCCCGTGCGCGCCCCTCTCGGAGCCAGCGGCCCGGGTCACGGCGAGGAAGGTGTTAATGGGATCCGCTGTGTGCGGGTTCCGGGGGCGCCGGCGCCCTACACCGTTTGCTGAAGCGTCGGGGTGCATCCGCGACCCCCGCCTCCTGCCCGGCTCCCGGAGGCTGCCCAGCCGGTGTAGTACGCGCGGAGTAGCGTTAGTGCTGAGACTTGAGCACAGTTAGCTTTTATGTCTTCACCCTCCCCCTTTCATGCACACATGCACGCACACCTCGCTTCTTGCTGTTTAGATCTTTTTCTGGTGTGGCTCTTTTTCTGGCAAATCTCAAACCTAATGCAGGACATAAATTCCCTGCTCACAATGATCCATTTGCTTCCACCGTTATTTTCCATTTTTTTTTTTTTTAAGCGATAGAGATGACTAAGTAGATTATAGTGGGTCAGGGGCTGGGCCAAGGTCTAGTGCTTTTAAGCATTTTAGCTTTATCTGTCCTCTCCCTCTCATTTCCTTTTGTCTGTTTCTCTCCCACCAGCTTCAAGCTGCTGCTTCTGTCACATTTGATAATTTTGTATATTTCCCTTCTTTCGGCAATATTATCAGGAATTGGACTTCGCTAAATTTTAACATCAATTTACATTTATTAGAATAGACATAATACAGATAATTATTTTTATCTAATGTGTAGGTTTGTTCTGTGAAGAAACTTCTGGTTTTGTTAACGTGGAAGTACTTTTGAGTTACGAATTTTAAAAAATAGATTCATTTGCAATATGGTGAGTCCTCAGGAGCCGCTATGCAGAGGAGAAAAAACTTAAGACCATATTCAGGATTTAATTCTTGAATATATGTAACACTGTTAATTTCAAATGAACATTAATGTTTCAAAATACATAATGTCAAATTGGTTAATAATGTATATTACAGATAAGTATCTATGCATTTGTATACTTTTAAAACATACAAATGTACATAGGTTTCTATATAAAAAATTCACATATTCACAGATAAAATTTAATGGGCTTATATACCACAAGGACAACTTTAAGGGCAATAATTTCCTTGGATGTGGAAACTACACAATTAAGGAAGGTTCTGGTTTATTCATTAAGGTGTAGTTTAACTTTGAGCACAGCCTTTACTTGGTGGCTGCAGGTCAAGAACATGTTTTTTGTTTAGTTTATTTTTTTGGTACTGGGAATTGAATCAGGGGCACTTAACCACTGAGCCACATCCTCAGCTCTTTTATTTTATTTATTTATTTTTTTAAATTTTGAGACAGAGTCAAGCTAAGTTGCTTATGTCCTTGCTTAGTTGCTGAGGCTGGCCTTGAACTTGTGATCCTCCTGCCTCAGCCTCCTGAGCAGCTGGGATTACAGTTGTGGGCCATGGCCCCTGGTGGAACATGTTTTTATACTTCTGAAAAATTAAATTGACATAAAGACAATTTCATGATTTAGAAGTAGACAGCATTATCTTACTTATGGCTTTCCTTGTATTTATGCACAATTTCATACTTCAGAAGTATCAGTTATGTTTATTAGACTGAAATAAGTAAGGACTTAACAAAAATGTGTATTTGTATATATTAATGACTAGCTTAGCTCATCATAGGGTATTTAGAGAAAGTTAGTTTTGGAAGCATGTAAATGTAACTTACCTCGTGGCCAGATTCAACAGTATTTTAAAATGTAGAAGATTTTCATCCTAAATTGATTTCAATTCCACACATCGAGACCATTAGGTTCTTAATAGTTATCAAAGCAGGGTTAGCTTTAGTTATCTCCCAGTATGATCTTAATAATTACCATTTGCTCATTGGTCATGAGCATGTCCTTTTATAAAGGACACGCTGAACAATCAACACCAAGACTGAGATGTGGGTTAGAGGAACAAGGTAACCTTTAGTAGGAAATAACTAAGGTTTGAATATGCCACATTCTGTGTGGTCAGGGTGAAAGTGCAGAAAGAAACATGCTTTACTAGCAAGTGTAGAACCCCACATGATAGGAGCCACACATTGCTTACAGAAAGTGGCCAATGGATGTGCTTCCTCATGACCTTAGTGATAGCTTGTGTAATTTGACCATTAGTCAAGAGATTCTACCTACAGTGCCATTTCAACCCAGTCTGTTAAAAACAAGCAAGCAAACACCGCTCTTTCTAAAACAGGACAATTACAGTTTACTGAGTGCCTGCTATATACTAGGTACTTTTACACTTACATTACAATATATTAGAGTATGTTTATGTATATTATTTCTAATCTTAAGAATAACTCTGTGAAGTATATTTGCAAGGAAACACGGGTAAATTAAGCTGCCCAGATCGTATAGCTAGTAAATGGTGAGCTAAACGTTAGACCCAAGACAGTGCCTCCGCAACTCCTCCTTTCCCCTCTACTATGCTACTTTATTTAGCTACTTCCTCGTTACTCCTTCAGGCAGAATTAATTTCTTGCTTCATCTTGCTACTTCTGCTCCTTGTATATATTTTTTATTATATATTTTAATTACACTATAATTTCTGTTCTTTCTAGACTATGAGCTTTGGAGAGTAGGGCTGTTGTCTTACTCGTCTTTGAGTTCTTAAATTCTAGCTTATCGCAAATGCTAAATACCTGTTTATTGAGTGGAATTTTAAAAATATTACTGCCTGCTTACATAATTTAAACATTCTTTGTGGCATTGTTTTTCAGCTGCATCTCCTGAGTATGCAGGAATGAATATGAGATGTTTATTACAGAGAATTGTCACATGTATCTCTAAAACACGCACATGCTTGTTGAATACAGTTATTGTGTTGGCTAGGTACCATGATTTCATGTATTTTATTTAATCTTTTCAATAATCTTTAAAGGAATTATTATCAGACATTGAAGCAAAGAGTAACTTGCTTCTATTTTATAGCTATTAGTGAAAAAGGTTTTCACTTATTAAGTGAAAAAGTCATTACTTTTCTTTCAACTTACAGTGCATACTGTCATGTCAGAGAACATTTTTATCATAATAAATTTGGAAATGAAACATAATAGAAAGGAGCATAATATAGATCCAGACTAACTTGTGTTTAAGAAATGAAATGAAGGAATTTCATAAATCTGGTAATAGGTATTCTGGTTAATTAAATGCCAATATAAAAGGGAAATGTGCATTCATGTCTTTTTAAAGAATATATACACATAACAGATGTGAGATTCATCTCTTTGTATCTTATAGGCAAAGCGGCAAATATATTAACCTTTTAATCTTAGAGACTGACCTTTAGAAAGTAGCTTTGCATATGGATTACTTTGATAAAAATGAATTTAAAAAATAATGAGAACTAGAAGCATCCTAAAACGTTAGAGCTAGAACTATTTCATTTTAGAAATACTGCAGTATCAATCCTTCCGTTTTTTAATGGCAAAGATAGGACTAGACCCAGGGTCTCCTGACTCTTAGTTCTGTGCCATACATCTTCACTCAAACAGGTATGAGAAATTGTGAATCTTGCAGTACTTAAAATTAGCTTGGTAAGCTATTTGCCTCAGTGAGCTGGAGAATGTGTAAATGGAACTAGAATGTGTAAATGTATCCCCTTTATTCTGAGGGGATACATTCCAAGACCCCAATGGATACCTGAAACCACAGATAGTACCAAATTATACATGGGATACAGGAACAAGGTAACCTGTTTCCTACACATACATATTTATGATCAAGTTTAATTTATAAGTTAATCTCTTATAAATTAAGTTAGGCACAGTAAGAGATTAAAAATAATAACTAATAATAAAATAGGACAATTGTAATAATATACTGTAATAAAATTGCCAGTAACATCACTACTCTTGAGCTTTTGGACCATTATTAAGTAAAATAAGGGTTACTTGAGCTCAAGCACTACAGTACCGTGACAGTTGATCTAATAACCAAGATGTAGTGTGAATACACTGGACAGAGGCATGACTTTGTCCTGGGTGGGAAGGAGCAGGACAACACAAGGTATCATCATGCTACTCAGAACAGGGACCAATTTAAGCTTAGGAATTGTTAATTTCTGGCATTTCCATTTGATATTTTTGAATTGCGTTTGACCTCAGGTAACAAACTGCAGAAGATGAAACTTTGAATAAGGAGGGCCACCATAATTTTTCCACTAAATAGAGAATGCTGGAAGAAGTAAGATTTTGAAAAATAATGCTTTCTAAAATTTATTACATTTGTATGTGTGTGTTAGTTTATTTACAAATGACATTTGGAAAATGCCACTACCTTTGTAAAAGTTAGTGCTCTAAATTATATATCTAGTTTTAGAAATTCTGCCAAGTTAGTCTTCTATTTCTTTTCTTAAACTATATTCAGACTGCAATGAAGGGTAAAAGGGGTGGTATATATGTCTACATTTATTTAGGTATGTAGATGTAAGATGTATACACAGATGCTCCTCAACTTCCCATTGTACATTGAAAATGCATATAATACATCTATCAAACACCATAGTGTAGCCCAGCCTACCTTAAATGTGCTCAGAACACTTCCGTTAGCCTACAGTTGTGCAAAACCATCTAACAGAAAATCTGTTTTATAAAAAAAGTGCTGACTATCTCATATAGTTTATTATTGACAGTGGAAAACTGTGTGTATGCGTATACTTTTGTATCATCATTAAGTTGAAAAATCATAAGTCATTAGCATTTGGGACTGTACATATATATATATATATATATATATATATATATATATATATATATGCATGTGTGTGCTGGCTTATTTTATAGGATCTTCATAAATGTAATCATTCCCTTCTGGAGTTTACAATTGCTAAGGCATTTTAGTATTAATATTCAGTGTCAGTAGAAAGGGGGAGAAAGTTGGTACCTACCACACATATTTGGAATAGTTCACACATAGCGGTGTAGCCGGT